ATTGCGAACACCTGGATGAAGCCGGAGGCTGGTCCTCGAAGGCTTCAAATAAGTGCATTGAGCACTGGTGGGAAGACCCTCATGGACTTGCACCTAAGCCCATAGGTCCCAGTGGGAAAGGTTCAAAGGCAGCTTTGGCTCATTCATTGGGACTGTCTTACAATGGCTGGCACGCATGGAGAGCAAGTGTTCATTTTGTTATTACTGATTTTAGAGGCCAGACTAAAGAGCTGTTGAGGATGCATTCTGAAAAAAACAACATGTGGAGGAGTTTATACTTACATCAGAGGCTCCCATGATTTAGGCTTAATGAAGATAGCGATGGGATATAGTTGTGCAACTTGTAGTCGTTTGATCGCATTTCCTGACACATCGAGAATACAGTGCTTGCCCTGTTGGAAGCAGATGAGGATGTGTTCATTTTGCAGTTTGCTGAAGATCAGCCAAAAGAGGGAAGCAATCCTTTGAGGCAGTGTCCTGGAACACAGCTATGACTGACACACCAGGGGAGGGGGGCTCCAGGGCACACACTTCACCCCTCTGCCTTTGATTTAGTCCTAATATAAAATATACCCTTGAAGATATGAAAGCAAATGGTAGTTTTTTAATTTATTTTTTATTGGCATGAGCTCTGGGGGTGGTGATGGATTTTCTTCAGAGATGAGGAAAATCAGTTCTTAAAAATAATAGCATAGCTATATTCTCTACTGCTTAATTTAATTCTTGTTTGTGTCAAAGACTTTGGGTGTCACTTGAGGCAAATCAATTAATCTCTCTGGGCTTCATTCTTTTACCTCTGTGACAGTGAGATAAGGTTATTCATCTGTTGTATAGAGGGTATAGGGAAAAGCTGTTTTGAGGCATATTTGAGGTGCTGTGTTAAATTTCTGAATCTATGCCTCTACATCCAAGTATTAGAAGTGCCAAGAACATTTACTTTCAAAGTCATAGACTCCACAAGTCGTGTCATTATAAAGCCTGTAAGCAATTGGATGTCACTTTGTACATATTTTATATTTTTGGCATAAATGTGACTGAGATGCAGTGTTGCCACAAAACTGATCATGTTGCATGGACAGTAAAACTGGCATCAACTTACCCTCTCTGCCACAAATCTCACAGACTGGACGCTAGTTCCATATAAATTATCATTGTACTGCCCGGCTTCTATAAATTTGTGCTCTTGGATATCTTTTTCCATTTGTTCTCTTGAAATGACAAAATGATAATCTCTCCCATCCACTTCATAGTCACGCTTTGGTCGTGTGGTATCTGCACGAAACAAAGATCAAGATCAAGAAGTCTGTATCAATTAACATTACTAGTGGACAGTGCTATCACTGGAGGTGTTCCACATCTGGGAGAGCTTTGGCTAACTTTTTTTTAATGGAGTTTTGACAATGAGGCTGCCATTTTACAGTAATACCTTCTAATATTTACTTCCAACCAATCTTATGTTAACACAAAATAAGCATTTGCTAGAATTTCACTTTATCTCATCATAGTCATAACTAAATCTCAAATAAAAAAAAAGCACATTGCAGATTATAAATCCAGACCTATGGCAGTGATAAAAATGAATGGCAATCTCATTAATTTAATTTAACCTTAATCATAAGGCTATTTCTGATCTTGTCTCCTAGCAGATTAAGCTACCATGTTTGTAGAGACAATAGTTTAAAAAGAAGAAAGACTGCAACCAGGATCTGCAGTAAACACTGAACAAGCTCTAATGATCCAAGATACAAACACTCTGCTTAATTCAGGGCCCAACATTGCTTTCAGAGGAGCCAAGATAAATTCCACACAAGTCACAGGCTACTCCGTAATTTTTTAGTCAATATTCTTCAGCTGAGTTGAAACATTTTATGTTTTATCAATATTTCAAAATTTTATTGTCTTTAAGAAAATACAGAATCATTGGTGAGTAAACTGAGTTTGAGGTTAAAAGGTCCCTTGTTTAGAGGGGCAGCTTCTGGCCTCTGCTCATAGAGCCCATCCCTGCAGCCCCCCACTTCCAAACACTGACACATAAAACTAACACTCAGAACCTCACAATTTTTTGTTGTTTGTTCCTTTGACCTTTTTTCTCTGGTAGAAAAATGGCTTCTGAGAAACTCAGCTACGTAAAGTTCATGGCTGCTATTTTCATCACAATTCACTTAACGAATGGCACCAAGGGATGCAACAGACAGCTGCAAAACGAAGAATAAAATTATACTTACGTGGTACACATGATCCAAACTTATCAGGGAATTCAGATATCAAGTCATCATTGATTCGATCTTTCATAGGGCCCAGAATAATTACTGGCCTGGTGTAATTAACTGACAAATAAAAAAGAGAGGCACATTTTGGTGGTTACTGGAAATAATGGTAAATATTCCCAAAGCTGCACTAACGAGTTGCTGTCTTTAAGATCAAGTTGGTGGATTGATGGTTGGATTAGATGATCTTAGTGGTCTTTTCCAACCTTAACGATTCCATGATTCTAATGAAATCTTAGGTTACTTTTTATTGATGGATCATTTTTCTATTGATGTGGCTAAGGAAAATGGAACTAATGCTACTTATTTGGCAGAGCAGAGCACTGATGATGTACACAGGTGTAGACAAGTGGCATTATGAAAGGCCATGGGAACACAGTGCAGAGAGTCCGGGAAACATCAGGAAGCACATGAAAGCTAGGGGTAACCTTATGTCATTTCTTATGTATGCAACAGTGGCCAAGAAGGATCCGCAGGGACAACAAGGCTTACTGCTCTGCTGGCCCCCAGAAATAAAATAAAAGATGTACGAAACAGTGTCAGAAAAGCAGTCGGAACTTACTTTCCTGTCTTGTGACAGGTTCATAAGAAAGGATGCAGTCCTCTTGGCCTCCTGATGAGAGAAGAAAGAGAACAGTTTGAAGCTGACACGTGACACTTCATGTACCAAAGCTTGATAAAATGCTTCACACAGGCAGTTCGGGTTCTGCACTTCTCTGTAATATGCTCACCTGAACCATTCCAAAACCCTTAAAAACTTCAATCTGCAGAGATCACTTTTTTCCCTTCCCCTTTGACCTGTGCCACATATTTCAGTTTTGTTCTCTGAACCTGGGTTTCTTCAATGGTCCAGAATAGTGGAGGCAACAAGGCCTCATTTAATGACAAGGCTGTTTATAAGGGCAGAAATTTCAGATATAATTATTTTGTTCACCAATTGCTACGGCACTAACAAGCTGCTGCAGGGCAAATCTACTGCTTTTCTTTACAGACAGAGTGGTGAGGGGCTGGAACAGGCTGCCCGGAGAGGTTGTGGATGCTCCATCCCTGGAGGCGTCCAAGGCCAGACTGCCCTGGGCAGCCTAGTCTAATATTAAATGTGGACGTTGGTGGTCCTGCATGTGGCAGGGCTTGGAGATTCATGGTCCTTGAGGTCCCTTCCAACCCTGGCCATTCTGTGATTCTGTGATTCTGTGAGAGCTACATGAACTGAACTGTTTTTACCTTCAGAATAAGCACATTTTGGCTGATCATCTTCTTCTGCATGAGCTCCCTAGTCTAGTTTATTTACAACCTGGTATCTAGCTCTGAGCGTTTTTTCTGATCCTCATGCTTTATCTGAACACAAGTATTACAGAATAATTGTATTTTATGCCTTATTCTCTCCACTGCTGCTAGGACTGTAATGTTTCCTCATTGTGACATATAGGGAACCAATGCAGAGAACTTTGACGGAAGACTCAAGTGGTCCAGGACTTGGGTGCAGGTGTACAGCTCCAATACATCTCTGCCCTCCATAAGAGCATTAAAGGAGAGCTGGAAGGATTCTTCAATCTACTGCATGAATAATTCCTGCAGATCTCTCTGGGTCATTGTCACATACTTGGCACTTCATAAGGGCTCTGGCATGTTCAAAATATGACTTTGGCTTATCAAATTTTAATATCCTGATTTTATTTTTACTCAGATCAGGGTTTACCTTTGAGAAGATCCACACTTGGGATTTTGCATCTAATTTAGGTATTATGGAATAAAGATTGCCATCATCGTATCTGAGTTTTACAAAAAAAGGTAGAATTACCTTCATAACATTTGCTTGTATATGTGAGTCTTTACAACATTTTTCTGATGGGCTTCTGTCAAACCAAATAGTTCATAAACACATCAAGAGTTGCATGATGCCTGATTGATGATATAGGTAGGATTTAGAGATTGTACAACTCACACTGAGGCTTTCTGACTGATTTTCAGGCTGTTCTTGAAGTTCTACTATATTAATTAGTCTTCATTAGAATGCAATGTCTAGATCACAAGAAGGTACAAAGGCCAGGTTGGATGGGCTGTGGGCAGCCTGATCCAGTGGATGGCAACCACTGCCCAAGGCAGGGGTTGGAACTGGATGGTCTTTAAGGTCTTTTCCAAACCAAGTTACTCTATGATTCTATACCTCTGTGATTTTGGTGTTTAGTCTTAAACTGACTCCCACTCCATGAATCTAATATGTTCAGAGAGAACTGTTCCTGCTATGTTACCTAGACAGCTGTGAGAAATGTGTAGGAAAACCTTCCAAGTAAAAAGAATTTAATTAGCCATGATGAAAGAAAAAGCAAATTAAAGAAGTGCTACTGTGTAAGGAGAGAGGCAGAAAAGACAGGACTAATTTCAAGCTAGCAATGTTGCTGAAGCAATTGAAGAGAAAGCTTGATTTTTAATAAAAGGAAGAGATTAGTTTTTAAGGACAAGGCAATGTAATGTATGAGGAATGTGGATAGTTGATTCTGTTCTATTTTGTGAGTGTTTGATACTGTAATCACTTGCTTAACTTTGATTTGTTGCAAGGTTAAAAATCTTGAATTCTTACCACGTTTCTTGCATCAGATTTGTTATTTTCCCTCAAGTTACTTTGAGAAATTTTATGTGATGTAGTAATCAGGATGTCCCAGTTCTTTGGAGATGAAGAGTGTCACTCCCCAGCTTGACAAGGATGCTTCTACACTGCCTGCCTTCCAGCCCTCAGGAGCCAATGCTAAGCTTTAAACAACCTTAGAATGTCAGCCTTGGGATGGCTGTTGAAGCCATCGTGTACTAAGCATGTGGAGGGGATCTTGTTTGCACAAATAGTCTTAAACTTGAGACTACATGTTTCAAAGGCACGTAGCTTTCTGCAGAGGGGGATTCATTTAGGTCATTGCAGAAAACCATATTATGAGTGCTTACGTCTGAGCTAGTCCTTAGATGCTCTTTAGACTCAATGGGTGCCTACAAATAGGCAAGTGCTTATTCTAAGACTTGAGTCATCTGATCTATTTCAGATTTTGGGATGAGTATCTATCAGTATGATTTGGGCTACAGACACAAATGAACTTGTCATTTAACAGAAGTCAAATAGCCCTGAAGCCACTGCAAAGGGTTGAAGTAAGCAAGGAGAAGCTTAAAGGCCAACTGTGATGCACAGGGACTTAAATATAGTCATCTTCCTGAGTGAAGGCTCTTCCATACTGAACATCAGAGTCACATGTGGTGTAAGCATGGGTGGAAATCACTGTTTCCACTACTTGTCTTTTCTGGAAAAAGAGTTCAGGAAGTTCAAGTTTCCATGTAAAGAAAATAATTTCAAACACTACCACAAGTTTTCAGGGGCTGATATGCATGTTAACAGTACCAGATGATGGTCTTCAATGATTTCTTCTCAACTGGTACTGCACAAAGTATTAAGTATAATGAACAGCTCTAGAATCAATCAATAATCAGATTGCCATAACCTCATAATGGTTTTGAGGTGTGACACAGCATGGTGTTCTGCAGGGCAGAGGTTTATTTATTATTTGATCATTTAACACTATCATTAATAGCTTAATTAGCACAGGTCTGCTATATTGATCTGGAAAATTGTTGTGAAATATAACAGACAAAAAAAAAAAAAAAAAAAAAAGAGAAAAGAAAAAAATCTGTATGATTTTGGCATGATCCTTTGTTCTTCAGTAAAATTCCATAAGTCAAAAAGACAAGAGAAGACAGAAGATAAGGAAAGAGAAGACATCATAGAAAGAAAGCCTTCTTAAACATTGTTTAATAGTTAAATTTCTGGATGTCTTTCACTTTGTCAGTATTGCTATGGCTCCTGTTCCCTGTGCTCTCGGTTTGCATGTTGGTGAGTTCTCATGCTCAAGAAGAGAACAACCTGGAATTTTTTACAACTTACTGCCTCTAAAAGCTGAGCAGAGAGGTCCTGGGAGGTCAGAAGAATTTCATGAGGACCATTCATTTTTTTCTTTTTTTCTTTTTTTCTTTTTAGGGTAACCCTAAAATGGATTTAAAGAGCTGTCTTTATTTTCCTTATTTAGCTAGATGGATCTGAAGAGATACCAGGGTACATGTGTGTCAATTTACATACATTTCATTTAACCCATCAAAAGCCCCACTTCCTATTGTCTTGCCAGATCATCCACAGCTTCCACAGTGCTGATGTTGCTGCATCCAGCATGTGAGTAATGGGGCAGGAGAGCCGCTGTGATGCCATGGTGTAGCCACCATGTAACCAAAGGGCAACCCTTATCAGGTACCTTATAAATCCATGGATGTTGGCATCCTAGTAATGGCTGTGAAGGAAAAAAGGTCAGCAAAAGTCTGAGAATGAAGATCCTACTGGAAAGTGGTTGATCAGTATGACATGATTAAGATCAATAAATCTCGTGCAGCCATATGTAGAGACTTTAGTGCCTGTGCCAATTTAAGTACTAATATACAAACCTACAGGGAGAGTAAGAGCAAATGTAAGCACTTTAATTAATCAGTGGCCTAACATAACAATCAGGACTCTTAAATCTTGTTCCGAAACTTCAAATCTCATTACAGAATGAAATGTTGACCAAATACAGAAAGTAAAAATTTTGGTTCCTGATACCTTTTCTTTTAACTTATAATCATGTAGTGCCTCTCTAAATAATTGGTGCAATCATAATCAATTATGCAATTAGGCTAAGTAGATGGGTTAATGTTTGTGTAATTTTGATGACGGCTGTAAAAACCTCTACTGAACTATGCTTGAGTGCATTTCCACACATTACCCCCCATATGCAGTGGAGAGACTTAAAAGTCATGTCATTATGAAAATCATGTCTTGGAAAATAGAAACTGGTGAGTCTATGGTAAAAAATACATTCTTTCAGGCTTGGTTTGAAATAGAAAATTAGAACTCTTCAACTCAGAACAAACTTCTAATCATTGTTTAATTAGCTGGTTGAGGAATAAGTCAAAGTTGGCCTCATGTATACTTAAGAAGGAAAACTTTCTGCTAGATCAGGATTTTATATACCATGCTGCATCCCTGATTTTTCTGCTAAGAGAAGGTGAAAATCAACTAACATTGTTATAGTCCTTATATTTGCACAGTCTGCATGATGTAGCAGCATCTGTGTGGCATCTCAGCCCCTAGTAGCTCAGGCTAGAAATTGTTCCAGGCTGAAAAGCACTTTAAAATCTTTTATAAATGGCCAGGTTCTGCTGTCAAATATGCTTGTGGTTCTCCCAAAAGTTAGTAGGTTATCTGCTGGTATAAAGAAAATTATCAACTGGGATTTGGAGAGGCTGCCACCTCACATCCCTGCAAGATGAGGACAATGGTGAGCACCATGCAGCCTACATGGCAGGGGCATGTTTAGCTCTTAGCAGAATGCTCTGCTAGTCTGGTTTAGCTATCTTCTTAGGGACAAATTGTTTTCCAGATGTCATTCTGTGTCTCCATTAACTTCAAATTGAATCTATTGTAAAAACTGAGTGGGTGATGGCTGTGTTTTGGGATACATATTGGTCAAGGAAATCTCACCACTGGCTTTAGCTCTTTTTCTCATTACAAACCGGAGTTGATAGTAGAAATCGTGTTCACTATCTGCAACAGCCTTGTTGCTAAGGAGTGGTCTAAGAATTTTCTCCCAAGACCACATACGAGAAATTTCAATTTTATTATTATTTTGAAATACTGACTTTAATACTGACTTTAATTTTTAGCCCCCAGGCCCAACACATAAGCAATGGAATTCTTCAGCCAAATACTCAGGCATTAAGCAATATATTTGTCTAAATAAATAAGAATTCATCAGAATAGCTCCCAGAAAAAGCCCAGTCAGTTTGTAAACCTTCTGTTAATCCCTGTACAGGGCACAACCTGGCCAGCTCTCAGAATCCTTCAATGTCACTTTGTGCAGCTGTACCCCTGAATTGGAATGGTTCAAGGAATGATAAAGTAATACAGGTTTTAACATTAGCTACTTTTCACTAGATGCTAAGAAGCAACAGTTAGAGAAACATGTTGAAGCAATAGCCAGAAACCCATGAGAAACAATGCGGAACACTTCAATCTGAACTACAACTGGACTGTTTTTACAGGGGCAAATATGAACGTCTGCAGGAGAACATTTCTTACACACTTTTCTTTATATTGGCCAAGGTGTGAACTGCTGATTTCTTACAATTCAGAAATCCATGGGACAGGCAACCCTTTTTTCCTCCTGCTCATTTCCTTGGGAAACAGAAGAAACAAAGGGTGCTCTGCATACTGTCTCATTCCATCAGGAGTCAGCTTTATCCTGAGAACCTATTGTTTTTCTTTCATTTAAAATTAATTATAAGGCAACGAGGACTATGTCTTTAGGATGCGAATGTCCACAGATTAGTTCTGATAACTACTGTTGCCATTTGGGGAGATGAGGATAGACTTTTACTGTGCAGTGTCCTTTCTCAGTTGTTCTACAAAGTCAGATCTGCAGTGAAATAGTCAACTGCTTCATGGCAGACCCCATCATTCTTATCTCCATACCCTCACAGTTGGCCAACTACTCTCTAGCCACCCCTCACTTGCTCTCTGTTTTCTGATTCTTATCTCAAGTCACAACTTTTCTAGAGGGGATTTGCTGCAGTGAGCTGTGTGATGGGAATGTGCTTGCTGACCTAGAGTAGCCTAGAGATTCAGGGTGTAACTATTCCGATTCAGGAGCGCTGGGAGTCCCAACAGAAGACATGCCCGTATTCCATGGCCATATAGTAATCAAACACAGGGTCAGGCCAGAGCTGACATGTCATTGTAATTGTCTGAAACAGTTATTTCCAAAAGCTGGTGTCTAAAATTGCTGGCTGCCCAAGGTTGTGGATTCAAGTGTCATATCAGCACCCACCAATGAATCATTAGCAAATGAAATCAGGCCCTTTGGGCACCAGCTCCTGAATTTTAAAGTCACTTTCACTTGGCATAATGCAAGACTGGCTTCCTTTGCTTCTGAATGTCATAGCTTTGCCCTGAGCAGAAAAGGAAGCCCTCCCTGCATTTCCTCTGCTGGGGAGCAGTTTTTTGGACACCCCAGCAATATGCGGTGAGCTCCAGCCAATATGATGCTGGTTAGTGCTGGTGTGAGCTTTCCCAGATGGAAACCACACTTAAATGAGATGCCTGTTGTGCAGTTAATTACCTCAGCACTTCTTTTAGTTCCGAATGTGTCCCAACTAACTAACCCCCCAAAATTTTCTTTTTCCCTGATCCTCAAAACAAATGCCTTATTTCAAGCTATTGCACAGCCAACTGGTTATCTGGTCAGTCTTATGATGCATTTTAGGAACTACCTTATGTGAACTTGTCCAAGATGTTGACCTGTAGTTTGGTTCCTATTTTAATTCTCCTGTTTGGGATATCAGGCATGGGACATGTTAAGCCACCAGCCTTGGTTACTTGGGCATTTACATACTCACTCTGAAATAAACACACCTGGAAGAGATTCGACTCATAAGAACTTTTGAAAATTTATCAATTGATTCAGTCTTGATTGTAAAGTCAATCTGGTGAAAGAGCATGTTATATGTCAGACATAAAATCCTTCTTTCCTCTCAGTGAAGGACACAGAATAAATAACATGGCTCAGAATTGGTTCTCAGCAGTTCAAAAGTGCCAACTGTTTTCTTGTGACTCTGGCAATTGCTTTCCAAATAAATATTTGCTGTACAAGAGAATACAAACTAATTTACCATTTCTGAATTGAATAAGGTTAGCTGTTCTACTGAAACAAACCAATGTTTATTAACAGAGCTCAACTGCTATGCACTCTACGAAGACTAGAAAGTATGAGGTATGATACCAGTGATTACCTGGATGTATGCGGGTACTTAGCGCAAGTGCTGAGCGACTGGTGGAAAACTTGATTTGCTAAGCAAATGGCTTGAGAAAATTAAACAACTTGGTAACTCAGTGATCAACCTCTTTTACTATCTTTTACTACATTTCCTTTCATCTATTTTGACAACTTTTTATTTTCTTTTCAACACTTCCAGATAATTTTCCACAATTTACGATCTATCTCTAAACTATTTGATAGTAGTTCTGTAATTCCAACCAGATTAGATTACAGGATTGGGACCATTGCTTAGAGGAAATCCACATCATTTATTGGTAGTGTCTAAAGGGTGAAGGTCTATTTGTCTCTCTTAATGTTTTTTGAAGACTTCATTATGTATTAAGAAAGCTGTACTGACAAAATTAAAGACTCACTAGACTCTGTGGGGCCATTTATTTGTTGTTCATGAAGGTATGCAAAAATGCAAATAAAAATTGTGACACTGTAAAGAAAATCTTTTGCATTTTTGACAACAATTATGGAGGAATTTTACTTTTAAAAGGTCAAGAAATTGTCCCTCTTCCTTCTGAAATAGACTTCCTTTCACTAAATAAAATAATTCTAATTTTCAAAGACTACCCAAAGCCAAGTTTGATTTTATGGCCCAGAATACGCTCCAAATAGCAAATCATTCTCCCTTTTCTCATAAAGGTTGCCAGTTTCTTTTATAGCTGTGTAGTCAAGAGGTGGTTGTAAATTTGAATTCCAAGCCATTTGCTCCAGCCATTTTTTTCAACATTAACAAAAGAATAGCGAGAACCAAAATAACAGGAACGAACACAGCAAGCAATGCAAAGTAAAAAGACTCTAATGAAAGCAGTAACTTACTGTAGCTACTTTCACTATCGCTGGCATTAGAAGAAACATGTTCTGCAAGAACAGTACAGCAAATTAAAGAACATAACCAAGCACCACAGAGCCGCAGAAACTCAAAAGATCTGCCGCAGCCATGCAAAGGTAGTTGTGCAGAGAGGAAATAAAAACTATACAGTGACATCACCTGAAGGTCTTAGATAATTTACACAGTTAAAATGAAAGCTTTCTCTCTTGAGGTATTTCCGAAAGAGACTATACACATCTAGTGATATACAATATAGAAAAGCCATTGATACACATTATAGCAAAGCCATGTCATTTCTTTCTAAGACTTTCTATGACAGTTACTGACATCTCAGATAAATTAATTTCAAAATACCATATGGTCCACTTGCATCTCAGTGAACAACTAATTTCGTGAATGAGTTTCTGCTCGTGTTCTTCTAAACTTAGTTTTGTCCTCAGCATTAATCACTTTCTACTATCCAGGGGAGTTAACAAATTACTGTGAAAAGGGCTTTGATATCAACTATTGCAAAAGATTTAAAAAAAAAAAAAAAAAAAGAGAGACAAAGCCAATGTCAATGTCAAAAAATAAAAAATAAAAAATAGAAGAAATGTTTTTCCAGACAAGTTCTAGCTTCAGGATTTGAGCTAGAGTACAAAAATCTTTTTCAGACTAGTCTGGATATGTGATCAGGGATGGAAGAATTATCAAGGGATAGATTTCCGGTTTGACAAGTTTGGTGTCAGAAAGGTGTGGTGTACATCATGTGAAGTGATTGTTTCCAATCAGGAAGGCTGAGTGACATCAGTCAGATCATGCTTAGTGGTCTCTAAGAGGTCTGTAGAACCACATTTAATGGCTGTTTTAATAGCTCTTTGGTAGAAATGCTGATAACTTTCCAGGTAAAAGTTCATTTGACACACGCTTGAAATTTTTTACCTGGACCAGAGCATTTAAAAATAAATGTTACAATGGTTATATAGTGAGAAGCAACCCTGGGTTAATTGGAATGAGATATGGATTGTTGAACGGACAGTGAGCACAAATAACTCACTTCCTGATAGTCTTCAGAAGCCAAAATGTATCTAACTGTCATTAATCCATTGTGCAGATTAGGATGTTAGTGACTGGTAACCACCATGTGCAACAAGTCAAGAATCCACTGGGATGAACTCAGAGTAGGCCACAAGGAGGATGAATATAGGAACTGTGTCAAGGCCACCTCTTCTCTGCGAGGTGCTGCATGCCCCCACATGCACACCTAATGGCTGGGGTTCATCGAGCAGTAGCACACAGGCTGGTGGAGCAGCAGGAATGGGAGAGGCTGATATCCGATAAAAGTACTAGTTGACAAACTTTGGTCTTGGACTTATTTACAAGCTTCAAAATATTAGACCCATGTTTTCAACAAAACTGTGTGGAGTCTTGGACATTTCACAGAAAGTTAACAACTGCTGCCTCCAACCATGATGTTATTCGAGGCCTTGAAGGTTTTGTTAATCAATAACAAATATCCTCCATAGTAACTATTAAAGTAACAACTATAACTTAGTTTAATATTAGTGAAATTTGAACGCGGCTGAAATGTCTAGAGATGTGTCAGTAATTAAAAGCTAGGTGTAATATTAATAGAGAAACTAGACCCTGACCAATACCCTTGTGCCACTTTTCTCCTAGCAGTTTGCAGATTTAGTTATCTCCTTCTGGATGATTGACAGTTACAGAGATTTGTCTTTTTAAGGACACAGACATGCAGGAGGGTTTGTCAAACCAGATGTATTTGCATTTTTTTTTTTAAGCAGTGGAGGATTTGCATTTATTCCTAGTGAACAGCGATAGCACTTTACTTCATGTAACAAAATGGTTAAGATTCAGGTGGCAGTGATATTGAAAATGGGTCTTCTAGGAACTGTTCTCCATACAAGAGATGAAGCTTTCATCTTTAAATGGCAAGCTACTGTATAGATTAAAATAAAACCGTTAAAATGACCCTTAAAAAAATCAGAAATCTGTAAAATTGCACATTCCTGTAATTAAAAAGCATATACAAAACAGTAGGTGATGCAGTGTCAACATCCACATATATTTTACTTCAATTACTTGGCTCTAAAGAAGAAGAACTGAAGGAAGAAGCAGCCAAACACATGCAAGTGCCATTTTGTTTAAATTATTTAGGTCTGGATACAGCATATAACATAGCCATTTCTATAGAGTAATTTATTCTGTACAATTTTTCTGGTCTGACTTTCAAGGAAGCAAAATTGTTCCCAAATGATTATCTGACACATGACACATTCTGCAATGTAAAGTTGTGAGACAGGATTACTGCGTCAGAAAAACAAACTGATTAAGGTTTCATGACAGGGAATAGGTTGGTAATGGTGAAATGGGTCCAAATTCAGTTTGGGAGAAGGCATGTCTTCTCTAGCCTGGAAATGACTTCTTCCATTAATAACAAACGCTAATCCAAAATTCAGCAAAGTAACAAACACTCCCATGCAGAAAGCTGAAAATGCAGAAGCAACAGCAGAAAAAAATTTCTATTTCCTCAGGATGTGATCAAGTTGAAATGTTTAAGTTTCCCTTTTGATGGAGAGGGAGGGATTGTTGCTGAGAAGTACATTCTAGCAGCAAAACAAGTTCTGGGTATGCTACTCTACGGAACTGCCATGATGAGAACAATAACATACTGTCAGAAACAAAAGGTGTTATTACAAAAGAAGTGAAAGTGTCTGCTTGATACACTGTATGTTATTTAATATTGTCATGCAGAACAAAACAATTGAAACATTTTTAATGCATTCACAGCTGGGTAACAAATAAAACTCTATCTTGTGCATGCTAGGAGTGGAGGGTCCTCAGAGAAGGAACAGAAGCCAAAACAAAACAAAACAAAAAAAGATTTACAGTGACCATTCCTGGGAACTTACTCAGAGTCTTTGTTCCATAACCGTCGTCACCTAATCCGGGGATGTCCTGCACGGAAGTCCCCAGAGAGAGCAATGAGAAAGGAAGAACAGCCGCAGAAGAGGAAGGAAGAAGTCAGTGGAGTTGAAATGGATACTACCATGACTGACCATGTTGATTGAGCAATCTGGATCCCTGCTTTTTTTCTCTTTAAACCCATATTCTATGGGAATGCAGCCAATGAAGGAGGCAGTGACCATTCTACATGGCTTTGTAGTTGTGACAAAGAAGGAACAATACAATAAATAAAGTCCCAGAAACGGTCCTCACCACATAAATTCGGAAGGAGAGAATTACTAAGGAAAAATGTGAATTCTTTGGGCTCAGAGCCAGCATTTTGTTTGTAATTACGCTGGTTGTTCACACATACAGTTTTAGCAAGCAGTAGGTGCCTGGAGAGGTACACATCCCAAGGTCTGATTTGCTTATTTAATTTCTTAGTGTGGATGTGTATTAAACTGTCGAACTTTCAGTGAAGCCATCCATGACAATCAACTTGGAAAACGTCAGAGGCAAAAATGAAAAAGGAGACCAGAGCAGAGCTTTAAAAGAAACTAGTTTGGTATTCTAAAAGAAATCATGTTTGCATAATTTTGAGCCAGTTTTGATTTGGGAATATTTAATCAGAGCCAAATTTGGGTTTAGGCCAGGTGCCACAATGATGCTGAGGAGCCACATTTTTTTTTTTTCTTTCAAGAAAGTGAAGAAATGCTCTTCCAAAAGTTAAGGTCACTGTTTCATTCTTCAGAAAATGATGTTTCCAAGGAAGGAAGGACCAGCTGGATCCAAATTGCAGTCACACATTGGTCACAGTAGTAATACCTCGCCTGCCTGCCTACAACATGTATTTGCCTGGATGTGTGGGATACTGATATCATGCGTGTCACCCATTTTTTGTGCTGCATGTGGCATCATCTCCGAGAGGTTACTTACGTTCTGGATCACTTGTTTCCTGCTCACTCTGCTCCTTGCTCTTGTAGAATGGGAATTTTCGTGAAAAGATGAAGTTCTTTTTACGCTTGTCATTGAATGACTGTGAAGGAGAAAAGGCATGGGGCAAAAACAGGGACGTCTAATTGTTGTCACACTCATGCTGACAAAACAACTAGTTTGTAAAAGTGGAGAGAACTGCAGTGACTCAAATCAGTCCAAAACAAGTGGCTGGGAAGACTTACAGGTGGTTGTGGTGATGTGTACATGCTGAAGGCAGAACCCCTGGAGACTGGATCGATTTAATGACAGAAGTCTCAAACTACAAACTTCAGCTCCTTCTTTGGGAATTATCATGTTTGGCTTGCTCAGAAAAAGGGCCACAGATGGCTCAGCATGCTTTGAGATCAAGCCACTCATCTTTAATGATAGCAGACTGTGCACAAAAATAATTAACTGTCTGAAAAAGAAAAGGCTGAAAAGAGGAAAGAGGAAGCCTTTGATTTTCTTCTGGTAGGTGTGTGGATTCAGCTCTGTGCCAATTAAAATTATATCTGTTTTTTTCTGGTAACTGTTGCTGACTTCAGAGTGCTTTACTTGTCCAGTTAACTGGTAATTTCTTACATATGTTTTAATGTCTTTTTTTTGCGTCACGTAAGAAAATTCACTTCACTTTGTGTTATATGTCTATATTAATTTAATGGGTTCCTCTGGATATGCTTTTAGAGATGAGATTTTGCTGGTAAGCAGTATTTCGTTGCATATTGAGCAATATGTACCTTCAAATGGGGAATAAATATGGAATTTTATTTATTTATTTATTTATGCGACAAAAACTTTGGCTTTAAAGACAGCTGCGAAGGTTTTATGGCAGGGTACTGTGTAAAAGTAGGATACACCTACTTGGGACACGTATTTCAGGTGCTAAAGGAGGAATCAAGGTCCCTGAGCAGTTAACTGAGTAAAGCTGGTGCTTCCAGAGGGCACCTATGCTGAATTGCAGATAGTGCTTAACTGATCTGTATTGTCCATCAGACAATGTCCTGTGCTGCTTCCTGGACAGAATGTGGGCAAAGCCCATGATCTTGCATGTGCTCACCTCCAAGAGAGCAGAGAAATTCTCAGCTCACTGAAGGAGACAATCTCATGTGCTTGTGGTTGCTTGTCTGAAAATGCAATTAGTATTTGCCTCCAGATTTGAAATAGAACAGATTTAGGGTTCCAGAATATTATCTTGTTTGTTTACATTTTGGAAGAACACCATAAAATGTTGTTTAGGATGTGTATTTCCGAGGGATGTCAAGTTAGGTACTGCAAAGCTCAATTAAACCAGTTGTCTACTTGTGTCACAAAAGTTTCATGCCACTTTTACATTTCAAGCATATTTAAAGTTCAGTAACCAAAAACAAAGGAAAAAATGCACATGTAGAGTAAATGATCCATGAGAATCTCTGAGTATGTAAACATTAAATGTGAAATTAACGTGGAGGTCATGCACAAATAATCCAGACTGCATGCAATTTCAAATAAAGCAAACATGAAAGAAAGCCAGCATTAAAAGTAATGGGTATGAAGGATCAAAGTAATCTGCGGGTGAAAAGAGGACTGACATGCACATTATATCACATTAATGACCTAAAGGATGTAATTAAATTAAAATGTGTTTTCAGTGACCATTTCTTTTATTTTTCCAAAGAAAAGAATGCAGCATGTTAACATTTCCGAAGTTGTGAAAATGTTGTTTGACACGCTTCATCTGAGCTTTATATACTAATACTACAGGCTTTGCACTTAAAAAGGAAAAAAAAAATATAAACACAGTAGCACCTCAGAAAACAAAGCGGTTTTAAAGTGAAAATCACTTCATTACCAAATGACATTTCAGTTTGGAATTAAAGAGAATGTTATCAAAGGGACATATAAATATGCTGTTTTACAGAGATTCTATGAAAAATAACCACTTTTAAGTATTCTCACTCCATTTTTTTCCCCAACAGTAGCAAAAGCCTCAGAAAGTACATTTGCATTAGAAGAACATATATTGTTGTTCGAGCTTATGCAAGATCTAGCAGAATATTCCAAATTAAACAGACATCCCATAGAATTCTATAAACATTTTTTCCTTGTGCAGTTGGGTTGTGTTTCAAATAAGATATTATTCCACTTCTATTTAGCAATCAAAACCTGGCAACTCATAGCAGGTGACTGTTACATCCAAAATTGCTGATAGCTCACACTGGTAAAATCTCTTACTTCTAAAATACAACTGATTCTTTGTTTATTAATTTCCATAAGCAAACAAGCTTATGCACATGTTAATATTTGTATAGATTAATCAGTGTGCATATGCATGTTAATTGCCACATATACTACCACAGACTAGCCATATTAAAATATGATAATAGACTAAACTGAGTCTGGTACAGCAAACTTATTGAAATAATTAATCTTTAGTTTTAGCTGAATGGGCTTACTGAACACTTATTTTACTGTACATTAAGTGCCTGCTTTTCACAAGAAAGCAAAACAAGGAGTCTTAGTTTTGTTTTTGCATACAATATAAATGTGATTGAAATCAGGCTGATTGCCTTCACCTCAAGGATATGAAATCCTACAGACATCCATCAGAATGTCCTTGCAGAGCCCATGTAAAGTACAAACATAGGGGGGTTGGTGGAGAAGTGGGAGACATATGGAATAAAACTGTATTTTTTCTCAGACACGCTCTTTTAGATATAGATTTGGGTTTGTTGTTGGAGGAATAGAGATCAGCACCGTCATCCAGCACTTGCATCATACGGATGCATATTTTCTTTTTAAGACAGGTGAAGAATGTCGCTAGGGTTAAACAACAATAATCAAATGTGTGCTTTTCAGAGGTCTTATTTCTATGAAATGGAAATGGAATCTTTGAGTTAAATGTTCTGAAGCGGTTTTCGTTAGGGTCCCCTTACACTGCTGATAAATGAGAGAGGTATTTGTCTACATCTCTCAGCCTGATATAGAAGTTGAGCACAACTGGATTTGAAATTGCGATATGAAGCTCAGACTTGCTCCAACAACATTTATGCAGGCAGAGTTTCTGAATGTCACTGAAAGTGCCTGAAAATGAATGCCTGTGCAAACTGTAATTTCTTTGCATGAATATTGTAACATTCTGTAGCGACAAATAACTGGGGTATCTCAGCTGCAGTGAAATCCTGTACAATAGACAGCTCTTATACCTCACTGCCATCAGTTCTCACAGCCCACCCATAACCCAGGAACTGGCATTAGTACGTACTCTAAATAGGCAAAAAAAAAGCAGATGACATTTTCAAGTGCTGTTTGACAACTGAACAGGGAGGTCATTGCTCACAGCACTTGAACTGTGATGAAAAAAGTCTTTTTACAGAAAAAAAAGAAGGGGAGAGAAGCTTTCACCAACATTGTAGCTTACATTCTTATTTTGACACTACTTAGGGCACAAGGCTATACACTGAAAAATACGCAATCTGCACTCTTCCTTGGCCAAATACCCCACAACGCCATTTACATATGTCTGATTTACATTCACAACAATCTCTGGTTATGACAGACATCAAGACACCGGGTGTTTCTTGTTCTTAAGAACTCCATTTGGTACTTTTCTTTTCTTTTGTCAAAGTACTTTTTTTTTATTCTAAATGCTTTTCTCTAAGGGCAGCAGCCATACAAATATTACTCATCAGATAATGTGTTTAAAAAGGAAAATCTAATGTAAAATGGAACAATCCAATTTCAGAATTTGCTTTATAGTGGTAAACATCACAAAGAATAGTGCATCCGTAACACGATGGGTGTAGCACCCTGCAATAGTCAACCATTCTGTTGTTTATTTGAGCTCTTTCTAGATATTTTTCTCATTGCAGCTGATCCAGCCCATACTGTGTTCATGAAGATAAAGATTGTCCTCTTTGTGCTTTGTAGAACAGTGTGATATGCTGGAAAAAGATTGCTTTTGATGCTCTAAAAAGCAGTTCTGTAATCTAAAAGCCATTGGAATATATTGGGAATCTTTTATTTTGCTATTTCATTCAACCAGTGCTAATCCCCACTCG